GAGAACTTGGAAAGGCTGTGCAGTGGTGGCACAAACAGGACTGTGGAGCTAGTGCAGTGTTCTGTCTTTGCTGTTGCAGGCCCACAAGAGCTGTGGGACCATGAGTGAGATTGATGCCAAAGTTCGCTACGTGAAACTTGCCCGTTCCCTCAAGACCTATGGGGTCTCCTTCTTCTTGGTCAAGGTAGAGCAGCAGCCCCCTTGGTCCCGCTTCTCACAGACCAAAATTCCTCTTCTTCAGCAACCCTCTATCTGCTGTGTTTCCAGCTGCTACCCTTCAGCCTGTGTTGCTCCAGTTCTCCCTGCACCTCCACTGTCCACCTCTCCTTCTTGCCTTTACCTGTGCGCTATCTTCCTACTCCTTGGTTCACGCTTTTTCGGATTTTCGAGCTCCATGTGATGGTTGTCACCACCAGCAAGTGTGGCCTTGGGAGTGTTTGGTAGCCACAGCAGGTCTCGAAGGTATCTGCCTGGATGAATCCATCCCGGGGATAGCCCACAGCCCTTCTGTTATGGCCTGCAGGAGAAGATGAAGGGGAAGAACAAGCTGGTGCCACGGCTACTGGGGATCACCAAGGAGTGTGTGATGCGCGTGGATGAGAAGACCAAGGAAGTGATTCAGGAATGGAACTTGACCAACATCAAGCGCTGGGCAGCCTCACCCAAGAGCTTCACCCTGGTAGGGACCAACACTGGTCCTCCAACCAAACCCCCTCCCTACTGGTGTCCCCATACTGGGCTACTCTTATGCCAACCCCTCTCTCGGGTATTTCCCCATGGTGGCACAGCCTTGGCCTTCTCTGGTGCCTCTCCTGACTCTCGTTTTGGAGGCTGGCGCTTGGGTGCTTAGTGCATACCAGAGGGGCTCAGGATGGGTGCCAGTGCCCTGCTCCGGTGCTACCCTGTGCCCTGCCATTGCAGGATTTTGGAGATTACCAGGATGGTTACTACTCAGTGCAGACGACAGAGGGGGAGCAGATCGCCCAGCTGATTGCTGGCTACATTGATATCATCCTCAAAAAGGTAAGGCTGTGCTGAGAGGGGCACTTGTCTGGAGAGGGGTGCAGGCATGCCCCTTCCAGCTGCCTGCAGACGGCCATTGGCACATGGTACTTCTGAGAGAGCTGGAGACAGAGCAGGGGAACCCCGTGGCCTTGGTACAATGCCTGGGCTGCAGGAGGAGGGGAGAGCTCAGAGGTATGTGTGCTGTCTGACACGTTTTCTTTTCCCCTCCACAGAAGAAGAGCAAAGACCACTTTGGGCTGGAGGGGGATGAAGAGTCCACCATGCTGGAAGACCTTGTGTCCCCAAAGAAGTAAGTTCTCCAGAGGCAAGACAGCTGCCAAACAGAAGTTGAATGGAGTACGAGCTCCAGCCAAGCTTTCAGCACAGTGCATCTGGAGGAAGAGCTGCCAGTCCTTTGGTGGCAGGACTTGTGCAGGACCTGGTGCTGTGGCCATGGGCATCTCTTCATCTGGTGTTTTTCCCCATTTCAGGTCTACAGTCCTGCAGCAGCAGTTTAACCGTGTAGGCAAGGCAGAGCTGGGTGCAGTGGCCCTGCCAGCCATCATGCGGACGGGGGCTGGAGGGCCAGAAAACTTCCAGGTGGGCACAATGCCACAGCCTCAACTGCAAATCACCAGTGGCCAGATGCACCGAGGGCACATGCCTCCCCTGGTAAGCTCTCCCTGTGCTCACCACAGGGCGCCAACTCTGAGGGGTCTGTCAGGCTCGCGTCAATCTATCCATTTGGGTCTGTGGCCAGGTTTTGCCTTGCTGTGAAGAGCAGAGGCTCTGTGCTGCTGGCTTCATGTGCTTGCTGAGCTGGCTTCCTCCCACACCTGCTCTACAAACCTGAGCTACACCCCAGCATTTTTCCCTGGCTGTTAACTGCAGCTGCTCCTTCAGGTTGTGCCCTGACAGCCTCACTAGTATTGTGGTTTGCATCCGAGACCACTGCCTTGCTTTGGTGTCCCCATGTCCCCTGCAGCTGGAGAAGTGCTTTGAAAAGGCCATGAGGAGGCTGATTTCTTTAGCCCCATGCAGCCTGATATGGGGTGTTGCTGTAAAAGCCTTGTGAGATCCCACAGCATCTGCTCCCCACTCCCCAAAATCTGGTTAATTGTGAGAGTTGCTTGTACCCATGGTGGGATGGGACATTTCCCAGTGGGAGGTGCAGAGGGGAGGCTCCCCTTTTGCTACATATACCCTATTTTGTGGTGACCTACCTAGAGCAGAGTCATCAACAGCACATTGCAGGGGAGCATGTGAGCCAAATATGTAAGCCTAGATTTCAAGCCTTTGGCACTCCTTAGTCTGTCTCTGTGTTGCAGACCTCAGCCCAGCAAGCCCTGACTGGCACCATCAACTCCAGCATGCAGGCTGTGCATGCAGCCCAGGCCACACTGGATGACTTCGAGACCTTGCCGCCCCTTGGGCAGGATGCTGTGAGTGCTGGGTGAAGGCATGGTGCTGGGGGTGGGCCTTGCTGGAGGTTGTTTGCTGGACTGGGTGAGGCTGATTGCATTTCCAGAAGAAGTGTCAGCAGCTCTGGGGAAGATCTGCTGTCTGAAAAGAAAAAGGGTTGTATCCCACTAGGGGCAGACATGGAGGAGACACTTGATCATGTTGCTTGGTCAGGATGGACTGATGAGTTTTGGGTGATCACAGGTCTTCCTTCTCTTTTCCTTGTATCCTCTTTCCTATATCTCTCTGTGTAAATGCGTGCGGCTACCTCTATCATGATCTTGTCATTCTCCACATTTCAGGCATCCAAAGCTTGGCGCAAAAACAAGATGGATGAGTCGAAGCATGAGATCCACTCCCAAGTGGATGCTATCACTGCTGGCACGGCCTCGGTGGTCAACCTCACTGCAGGTATGGGGAGGGTTGGAGAAGAGTTGATGCCCCATTTCTGGAGAAGGCTTGGTCTCTCTTGTCTGGCTGAAGGACACAGCTCCTGCCCTCCATCGTAGACTGGAAGAGCGAGCCAGCCCCTGCTAGAGCTAAATTAGGCCCAGAGTCTGCCAGTGCCCCTGTAGAGCTGGCCATGACCCCACAGCTCACTCTGCTTTTAGGTCTCTGCCTGTGCCCAGAAAATCCTTCCTCCCAGTTCTCAGCTGACCAGCTGTCCTCTGGGCCGGAAGTGTGTTGTGTGGTCCCTGCCATAGCTCTGGCCACAGCCATGGCATGCAGCTCTCCTTCCCCAGGCTCTCCTGCCAAAACTCAGCTGATGCAACAACCTTTCTGGCTTAGGAGCCAGAGGGTCTCACCCTCTGATCCCAGAAAGGAAAACCACATTGGCAACAGGCATGAAGATGTGCTTGGAGCATCACTTGAAGCACATTCTGTCTTGACTTGTCTCTTCCCTGTGCAGGGGATCCAGCAGACACAGATTACACCGCTGTGGGCTGCGCTGTGACCACCATCTCTTCCAACCTGACGGAGATGTCTAAGGGCGTGAAGCTGCTGGCTGCACTGATGGAGGATGAAGGAGGGAATGGGCGGCAGCTTCTGCAGGCAGCCAAGAACCTGGCCAGCGCTGTCTCGGACCTGCTGAAAACAGCACAGCCTGCCAGTGCTGAGGTGGGGGGCAGGAGGGGCTGTGGGGCTGAGAGGAGAGGGGAGGCCAAGGGAAAACATCAGGTGAGGCTTTAGGGCCTCCTCACAAGCCCAGTGTTAATTTTGCCTTGTTCCTTGCAGCCTCGCCAGAATCTCCTGCAGGCTGCTGGCCTTGTGGGCCAGACTAGTGGAGAGCTGCTGCAGCAGATCGGGGAGAGTGACACTGACCCCCGGTTCCAGGTGAGTGCACCCGGCATCAACCACAGACACAGAGTCCCTAAAACCATCAGCCTTTGCACAGGACCTGGCAGGAGGGCTCTGGGTCAAAGCTTGGTCGGTGCCCACCATTGATTTTTTGACAGGCCCTTGCCCGTCTGTCCCTAGAGCTACTGTGATATAACACCTCTTATGTTGTGGATTCCGATGTAGATCCCAGAAAGCTGGTGTGCTTGGATCCTGCCTGCCTCTGAA